CCAAGAAACCATTAAGATAGTCCCCATTATAATTTCGTAAACTGGTATCATACCGAAAACCCTTAAAAATGATAGAACTGCACCCGAAAACCTACATGCGTCTACAAAAGTCAATTGTACTAGACATATGCTCGATAGTCCGCCGTTTCTTAAATACACCTGATTCAACAAACTCCACAAAAAATTACCACTCACTCACATCCCCTCACAATAAGACAACCGAACCAGAATACTTGGCTTAGGCCCGTACCTGGTTCAAAAACGTCGTGTAAATAGGGTGTATGTGTTTCTATCTATGTTTGAGTGCAAATTGTTGGTGAATGTATTTGGCAACATTGTCATGGCGGTGTGTATAGTCTTTGTTGGCGAGTACGATGCAACCTCCTGTTACATGATCTACAGATTCAGTGTATCGGTGGCACAATCGGCATTTGTCGGTTTCTATTGACTCTTTTAGGATATATTTGGAGTAATTGCGTGTTTTAATGACTTGGTCCTGTATATCTACTAGGAATCCTTCTGTCTCACTAAATATGTTTCCTTTGGTAAGCCAGGTGGTTGATGGAGTTTGGTCTATGTGATCTTGTTCCAGTTGATGGGGATATTTGCCGTGAAGTGCTTTGTTCTTCCAGTTTTCTAATTTCTGTTCTTGTTTTAGAATTCTGGTTTTTGGGTCAAATTGGTTATTGTTCAGAATGAGGTAAGAGTACTATTGCTCTGTGTAGTGTGCTGTCGTTGGCTTTTCTGATGAAATATGTTCGCAGATTGTCTATTTGGGTGTAGTGTAGGTGTTTAATGTCGATGAATCCGCGACCACCTAATTTTCTTTTCAGTGTAAATCTTTGTACAGCAGAGTGTATATGATGAATGTTGTGTCTATTGCATGTTGTCCTAGTTGTGGTAGTTGTGGCATGAAGCTCAGTATAAATCCGAAAGAATACGTTAAGATGGAATGGCGTCTGTGTTAATGACTTTGACTATATTTCTGGCGGATAATTGGGTACTGACTATCTTATTTAGTCTCTGTTTATATTTAGTTTTCAATGTGTTTTTATATTGGTGTGATTAATTGATGTACTTTGCTGGTATCCTAAATATTTGTATGTCTCTCTGGGTTCCATGCTGTGTATAGTCCCTCTTTGTAGCTCAAGTTTAAAAGAATCTGTTCTGCTGTGCTTGCCTTTGATGATGCTATTGATTTTACATTTATTTGTTCCAAAAGTCATTTTTATGTCTGTGCTGAATTTTTCTGTTAGTCTTAATAGATGGTCTAATTCCGATTTGTTACTTGCATATAGTTTTATGTCATCCATGTATAGTAGGTGTGTAAGTTTGATTTTGTTTTCTCTGTCAATGATGTAGAGTTATTAAGTATTCTGGAGAGAGGATTTAAGGCAAGACAAAACCACAGAGGACTAAGAGAGTCGCCTTGGAATATCCCGCGTTCAATTTTGATAGGTGTTGTACTGAGTGTTGTAGTACTAGTCTTCACATTGAGTTTTGTTGTCCATTTGGTCATTGCGTGTTGTAGGAACTGTATTAGACTGTTGTCAATCTTATATATTCTCAAGATGTGTAGTAGCCATGAATGGGGCACGCTATCAAAAGCTTTTTGGTAATCGATATATGAGTAATATAAATTTCTGTGTTTGTGTTTTACTTCATTGTGTATTTCCGCATCTATTATTAGTTGTTCTTTACAACCCATTGAACCTTTACTGCAACCTTTCTGTTCCTCTGGTATGATTTTGTTTGTTGATATGTGTGAGCTGATTTTATGTATAATAATGGATGTTATTAGTTTGTACATAGTTGGGAGACATGTAATGGGTCTGTATTTGGCTGGGTTTGTTGTGTCATTATCTTTGGGTTTTAAGTAGGTTGTTCCTTGAGTAAGGAAAGCAGGCATGTCGTGTGGATTTTAATGAAGCCGTTTAGTGTGTTTGCTATGTGTCTGTGAGTTGAAGTTAAGTATTTGATCCAATAGTTTTGAATTTTATCAGTTCCGGGCGCTTTCCAATTTAATGTTATTTTTATTGCTTGTGTTACGTCGTCTTCGTCGATTGTTATTTCTGGCATAGGTTCAATTTTCTCCATCTCTTGTTCTTCTATTTCAGTCCATGACGAGTGTGTATTGTGTTGTACGGGTTTTGACCATATATTTTCCCAGTATTTTTGGATCTCTTCTGTGTCTGGTTGTTGTGTTACTATTATGTTTTCTGAGTTGAGTTTTTGGTAAAATATCTTTTGGTTGTTATTGAACAAAATATTGTCTGACTTTCTTTGGTTACTTTTCTTGTATCGGTTCAGTCGTTTAGCTTGTGCCTGTAGTTTTTGCTTATTTTTATCGAGTTCGTCTATTAATTCTTGTCTGGTTTTGTTAGTAGAGTTTAGTTTTTGTTGTTTTTTCTGTGTAAGGTTTCCGTTTACATATTGTGTGTGTTGTCCCATTTCTGTCCTTAGCGTTGTGATCTTGTTTTCTATTTGTTTCTCCCATTGTGGTTTCTTTTGTTTATCTGTTTTGTTGTTTTGTGTATGGGAAGCGTGGTCTACGGGTTTTTTAGTTTTTTTGTCGTGTAATGTCGTAACTGTTATTGCGGCACAGTATATGGCAGTGTGGACTTCTTCAAACGTGGTTACTTTTGTGTTTTATAAGTGTTTGTCAACTATTTGATTAACGATGTTAACAGTTTTAACTATTTGTCGTGTCGTTTGTAATTTGGGAATTATTGGTCTGAGTGTTGGGTCTATGCCTGTGTACTTTATCATTGTTGTGAATGTGTTTTCGACTTGATTGTAATCTATTAGTCCTACTGGTGTCGTTATTGGTTCATTTCCTTGTGTTTGAATGTGTTCCCTAGTTTCTAATGATTCAGTTGCTTCTGTTGGTGTATTAATTTGTTATTCGAGTGTATGGATCTGTGAGTGTTGCGCAATGGGTGTTAGTTGAGTATATTAGCTTGTTGACTATGACGTAGGCTTGTGTCTGAGATCTGTTGTTCTTCTGTAGTATTTACAGTGCTACTTGTAACTGGGGGTGTAGGTGTAATCGTCTGTTTTATGCGTTCTCGCTCGGGTTTTGGTATTCTATTGTTTCTATGTATGACTCTGATTTGATCCGATAGTCGCTGTTCAGAAAGATGACTCAGTTCTGGGAATTGTTGTATGAATATATTATATAGCAATGGCCTCCAGGCAGTCATATCAGTTTCGCACTTTGTTACCGTATAGTAGCAACCGAGGAGCTCTGTGTTAATATCATTAGTCCATTTCATCCGTTGTCTACTTTTTCCTGCTAGGGTGGACCTAACTGTGGAAAATATGAAAGAGTGATCAATGGCCTGCAAAAACTATAATATATGGAGGGAATATTTGTGCACTTTTATGAGGTACACCCTGGTCAATTTCCTCCGGAAGTAAAAAATATTCGAAATTCAAATAAATAACATGGACGCCATACAAATTTCAAAGTCTCCTATCAAGGAAACTATCAGAGACAGGTAGGAGGTGTTAAAGGAATGTCATAGAGATTAATAGCGGTCAACTGCCTCGTTTAAAAAAAGCAAGATGGCGAATTCAAAATGGCGGCCGAAGAAAAACTTGCTTCGATCCGACTGAAAATTGGTATGCGGGGGCCTTTAGGAGGCCTTAACCATAATTTGGGGTCAAAAGTTTCATTTCGCCATTTTTTTATATGGCTGTCATATAAGCGTTTTTTCCGTCAAATGTGGCTGCCGAAACGGACTTGCTCTCATTCGGCTGAAAATTGGCATGCGGAGGCCTCTAGAAGTGCCCCGGATAATAATTTGTGGTCAAAATTGGTTTTTCGCCATTTTCAAATATGGCCGCCATAGAAGCGTTCGTTGGCGGCAGAAAAAAAATGCTCTGATCCCTTTGAAAATTGGCATGTATGGGTTTCTAGGAGTGCTTGATAATAATTTGTGGTCAAAAATGGTTTTACGCCATTTTTTTATATGGCCGCCATTCAACAACTAACAAAAATTAGCTCTAATTCAACTGAAAATCGATATGTGGGGATCTCTATAGGTGTTTGATAATAATTTGAGGTCGAAATTTATTTTTCGCCTTTTTTTCAGTATGGCTGCCATACAAACTTTTTTAGCGCCAGATAAAAATTTGCTCTAATTCGATTGAAAGTGGACATGTCGAGGTCTCTTTGAGTGTTTAATAATAATTAGCGATGAACATTTATTTTTAGCCATTTTTCAATATGGCTGCCATACAAACATTTTTGGCGGTAGATAAAAATTTCTTCTAATTCGACTGAAAATGGCATGGCTTCAATCACAATTTGGGGTAAAAATTTTGTTTCTGCCGTTTTTCGATATAGCCGTAATTTTTTATGTAAATGGCTATTGAAAAAACTTGCTTTGCTCGGACTGAAAATTGGCACGAAAAGATTTCCAAGATTAGATAATAATTAGTGGTCAAAATATATTTTTGCAATTTTTAAATATGGCCGCCATTAAAGAGCTATTTCAATTTTTTTAAAACAAAGCCATAAGTGCCGAGGCCGGAGGCCGAGGACCGCGGAGGGCGAAGTCCGAAGCGTACGCACACCATCAAATGGAGATAATATACGGAGCCGTAATAGATTACGAGTACAAGATCTCACAATTGTAAAAATGTAAAGCATGTCTCTATGTGAGATTTCATTTTCTTGAAAGCTATGCCAAAGAGAAGTATTTAGGGGGAAAAATGCCAAACTGCTGCCGAATTTCCTGTACTTTGTAGGTATTATGAATACCATATCAACGATAACCCAGAATACTCAGACCAAAACCAACTTAGAAATGTTCGTTTCTTAAATTGGCATAAATCGGGAGTCGACCTCCTCATATAACAAATAGCCCATAGTACTAACTGCTGTGCCACCGAAGAGCATGAGCACACCCCGTAAACTGAAACCGACCACGCGCCGCAGGCCGCGCCCCCACCGTAGATGGGGTACAGGGCTCGTAGTATATAATATGTCCCTATTGTTAGTTATATAACTTATCATTTTAATCATTAATTTCTTCTGTATAAGTCTTAAAAAACTGAATAATGTATCTTTTTTTCTTTCTTTTCATTTTTTAGGTCTAAAATTAAAAACAATAAATGAGTGCAGAGAACTTAAAATAGAAACTATTTTAATGTCTTTCGCTAACTCCGATTGTATAAAAGATAATTAAAATTTGTTGTTACAAGTCAGTGTAGTAAATCTTATTTATTTTTTTAATATTTGCGTGAACACCTATGGATCTCACAAGTCATATACAAATATTTCCGAGATAAGTATACTACGTGGGTTAACTTCAACTTAAGATTCTGATCACGTTGGTACGTACACAATGGCGGCAATAGCGGCGGGCGCAGATGCGTCACAAACCATTGTTAGTGAGACAATGCGCGAACGTTGCTCACCAACGGTTACTATATAAACTGGCAACTCTCAGCCTTTTTACAGTATGGAGTACTAATCGTTGTAAAATTAATGGCCGCAGGTCCTGAATGAAGCCACTCTAATAACAATAATAGTGTACAAATTAATTGTTTTGGTTAGTTCATCAAAATTATCCGTAACACCTATTAGACGCTCCAGCTACGTAGTTAGCCACAATAAAATAATAATAAACGCACACACTCCACATAGCCCCGCACTAGGGAAACCCTGTGTCGCGGGTGCCATGGACACACACATAGACAACCACAAATTACACCCAAACTCACGAGAGAAATAATTGTAGGCCATACAACTATTTCTCCCGGCCCGGGAATCGAACCTGGAACCTCGGCGTGGCAGTCCGGCATGGTAACCGTTCGGCCACAGAGGCAGTTTCAGGATAGAAGCTGGAGTTCTGGATGCAGCAGATATCTTATAAAAATTACAAAAACATTGACTGTTACACTATTGCACGTCTACAATATGTAAGTGTCATTGTTTTCTGTTGCGTATGATATTTGCGTATATGTTGCTGAAATAAAAGTAGTTATATATTATAGTACTGATAAGTGGTAATTTGAAATTGAAAACAAATTTGCGCCGCGTGGTTAGGAGAAATTTGTAGGTAAATCCTGTGTCGCATTCGTCTCGTCTTGTTGTAACTCCATTGTCATATCTTCGAACAATGAACGTTCGTGTATTCCTGTCCGTCAACTTTTCGACGACGAATTAGCGCCTCTGTGTGTGGAATTTTTAATAGACCCGACTTGTTTTCCGAAAATTATACTGTGCATCTACACAGCTATGCCACGTAAAATATATGTATACAAAATGTTGTTTCTTCTTGTGATCAAGGCGGTGAATAATTTGCTATATAAAATTGTGAAATGTGAATTACGGGGTCGCTAACGACAAATGCACTGATACCTAGACCGTTCTAATCTAATCCATGCTGTTACTAAACTAGTGCATCGTATTTTTGTATTAGTTTTACAGTACATTATGTAGTTCGACATAATTGTGAAAATTGTCAAATTATATTTGCGTCGTTGTTATAGTTGGTGTTATTTTGAGATGATAGGTGCCTAAATGAATGATTTTCTCGAGAAATAATTATTTAAAGTATTTTGGACTTCTTTTGCGATTTTAACATTATACTGCACGTTCTGCATTGTTGCGATCGCAACAGAATTTTTTATTTTATTTAATGTAGGTAATGTAATTTTTGAGGCAGTAACAAAAAAGTCGTCAAGAGCACATTACCTAGGCCGGGTTATATTTTGCACCAATCAACTAACACCACATATATGTAATTTCAGTTCTACCACATATTTAACGAATTTTTGGTACAAACTAACAGTAGTAGCAGAAAGGCTCCTTGTGAAAGAGTTCGTCCAGTTACCTATTTCCGCCGCCACGCAGTAGTGTTAGCATTATTGCGTTCCGGTTTAGAAGGGTGCTGGTGAAATTACACTAATTAGGCACATGGGGCTTGTCAACTTATGTCTCAGGGCACAGTGGCAGTGCCCTTAAGATCTTTGCGATTAAAAGTACTGCAACTATTATTGATAGGCGTGTCGCTTATCACCAGGCGCACGATTTGTTCGTCCCGTCACATGGTATTATAAAAAAAACTAACAAAAGTCAACTAGACTGTTCACTTTTGATTTGTTCTGCCATGAGAAAACACCATGGCATAACTGGCGGCTTCATGCATTCAAGAAAATAATGACTGTACAAATAACCGAGAGAACCGCCGAGTTGTTTACCAACGCCAAGTTGCGGTAAAAGGAATTTGAATGGGATTACCAGGCGCCCCTTGTAACTTTTATTGCTTCAAGAGCAACTTTTAAAACAAACCAAATAAAAGAAATGAAATTACGGCACAAATTAAAAGAAAGAAAACAAGGCGAATAAAAAGACAATTTATTAAAAATACGTCTTACACTTCACAAAATTATTATCCTTGTCCAAATGTAATCAATTTTACTTTGCTGGTCTAACGGCCAAATTTTCAAGTTAATTTCCATGTTTTGAAGTATCTTCTCAAGAGGCACAATGACGTCACTATTACCGCCATTCATCCAGTCTTGTATGAGATTTGAGATCGTAGTTAGCTGGTTCTCGTTCTCTTCGGTTATGTCGTAGTTATTCTCAATCAATTTAAACAACTGTTTTAGTAGTGCAGCTCCGTTTTTTAAAGCTTTAGGTTGTAAGTTTACAACGCTTTTTTTATTGTTTACCACCTCGTCTATGAAGTCTATCGTATCTCTATGAACAGTTTCCCCAGATTCAACTATATATTTCACAGTTTCTTTAAATTTTACATTACTTTTCAAAGTATGCATATGCTTTTCTAATAACTCCGGAATTACTGCAAACAAATTATTTAAGTTGAATGATGATAAATTGAGGAAATGTCTTAACCACTCAGTCAGGTACTGTGTGTACAAGGGCCGGTCCTTGCAAATGTGCAAATTGCTACAAAGGTGTGCTTCGACGAAATTCGTTGCTATTTTTACTTGCTGTCTAGTTATTTTCTCTCGCATAACCAGTTTATACCATTTTGTTGCACGTTCTAACTTTCCCTTTACTTGAGACAAGTCATATGAAATAATTTGCTGCAATAAGTAATTAGATATATCCATAAAATCAATCATAAATTCGTCTGTGACATTAAATTGTTTCTTTTCAACTATTCGCTTTAGATTGGTTTGGAGGAAGTGTTCGTACTCGTCCCCACTATTATTGAATGCTCTATCAACCTGTTCTAAATCTTCGTTTTTTAGTCCATAACATGTCTTTACATTGTGCCTGACGTTCTCAAGTTGTTCCGATGTTATTTTGATTAATAGTGCAATGTACGTATCCCAGGGCACGGCGTAATTTGCCTCAAGTACGTCTGGATCACTGTCGTTGGTCCCAATCCCATGTTCCGCGCTATGCTTCGTATTACGACGTTTTCCATTTAAATGAGTGGCTTTACGTTTGTATGTAACCTTGTTGACATTGGCGAGGTTCGCGAAAGAGTTAAATACGTTTAAAACTTCAGTCTCATGCAAGGGTTCATTGTTACTTTTCACAAATTGAGGTGCTTGTACGATTGCTACAACTGAGGTAAAAATACAATTAACGTATTTGCAACGACGTCTTCTATGAACGAACATTACCTAATGAGTAAGTAAACCTATCAATATGAATAACTACTCCATACATACTCAACGCATTTGTATTATTTGTATATCATGAACCCCCATCAACAGACACAACTTTTACTATGCTTGTCATGTTGTTAATACAAAATTAGGTGCTCCGAATGAGTTCACACCTTAAAAGTCGATACTACCACGACTTCAAATTTTTCCCACACTAATACGGTTCATTTTCCTTGGATCATGCGGTAAAGACATTGGCTTTATTTCAGAATTTTTTTTTTACAAACGAAATGAGAAATCTACATCATATACTATACGTGTTCTATTTAGTTTAGTTGATATAAAAAATATTGATATATAGGTAATTATATAAAGTACCTATTGAATACAGCAGTGTTCTTGTAAAATTTCGAGGCAAGTTTGTGTTTTTTCTGTCGTGAAAGTTTTTAGAAACCGTGTTTTTACACCGTATAGTAATCAGTAATCCTTAATATTACTATATATTTTTATTCCAAAATTATTGATTCAACACTTTCACTGTTATGCGGAATCAACCATAGGCATTTGAGGTTGTATAGACTCTTAATTGACCAAACCTTATGGAATAGTTAATTTTTAGGTATATTCATAACAAAAGTCGCTCCTATCAATAGATATGATCACCCTTTGAGGTTTGATTAGTGCGAGTCCACTTACGAATTTACAAAAAAAATATTTTACTTACTCGGCAAAAGTAAATGGTACAACATGCTTGCTTGTCACCAATAGCACAATCACTTTCAATTGATATCGCTTTTTATATTTTACGATTTTGTGGGTTAGGAATTTATTTTCAAATTTCATTGTTATTTGAATTTGGTTTGTTTATGGCCAGTTTTGACGTACCGTGAATGGAATGTCTATTCTGCACATAGATTTAGTATATAGGTACCTAAATCTACGGTTCTGCACGTGTAAATGAGAACTCGGAATGGTTTTTTCGTATCTAATTAATTCGGCAAGATTGTATAAATCGTAAACTGACGCAAGTGACAGTACTTTTCAACGGTACTATTGGTACGAAAGAGCTCCCTCTTTATTCCCTATTCATTTATCAAGCTGTACATAAACGAACGTAAAATAACAATTAAAGTATATCGTCATAATGCCATGAAAATATCCACGAAAGATTTTCAGCGTAACTACAGCTAAGGCCCGCTAGCAGTATTTTTTTTAAGTCGCGAGTAAGTTAATAACATAATAATTGTGTCGATGACCAGTCTAATTGTCTTCGGAGTGTTTTACGTTACTGCTAGAGACCATCACAAGCGAAAAAAAATCTACATAATGTATGTATTTCTTATTCCAAATACACAAACAGATGATGATTCGTTCCCGGAACTCTGTGCAACAGAAACTGCAATGCGGTCTGACACCCACCAAGGGTTCTAATGCGTATGACTGATTACACTCTGCTCTGCGGTGCTTCTACTATGAGTTTACTGTGACATTTCTCGATAGCGGCAACGTAAACTATTTGTGTATACAAAATGTTACTTCATATCGTAACCGCCAGGGGCTCTGTATAATTTCTTGCATTGAGGCTGCCACGCCATTGTAGTGCGTCTGCAATGTTCGCGGAGACGCGAACGGACGGGTTTCACGCCATTATGAGTAAGCGCGTCGTGTGGTTGTTGCGGTGGGTGCGCGGCAGCCCCAACAATCTCCTGGCCATTGTTGCGACCAGAGTCGACGGCCCATTTGTACAGGCATGAGAGGCTGTTCATGCGACAGCCAGAAGAGATTAATGTTATAGAAAAATTGTATTTACTAACTTAGTCATAAGGCTGCAATTGTTACTAACACGGTATGTAGATAATCCGAAATAAACTATTATTATTGTCATAATTTGCCATACAACATTCTGAAGTAATTTACGCGGTCGCTAGCTACTAACAACTGTATGTACTACTAACACAGTAAACTCATGGTAGAGGCACGGGTCTATACTTAGCTGCGTTTTTACAGTTTTCAGAACTTTACGTAGATAAAATGCTTTTTATATAGAGCTACCACGAGCTTGTTCTTCCGCATAATGTAAATGTATAATTATTTTTTTAAATTTATTTATTTATTTAAGGCCACATGATCTATATAATATATACCTTAAGGACTAACAAACATAAAATATAATAAAACAGTTGGAAATGTCTAACTAATCTACATAAATTGCACTTATCGGCGACATGTGGCGCAATCTGGTGTCAGGTAACCGGCCGCGGAACCGCCGATATAAGACACCCTTCAGCCTTTCAAAATTCTTCCTTCATGAAGGTCGACAGATGTCGGTCGGTACTCTCACCACAAACGAATATGAATGGTGGGTTTCCTCTTCTTCTTCTTCTCCACTTTTGTAAAGCCGTCCTGGTCGCACCGGTCCATCTGCCTCTGTGATTTTACAACTTCAGAGTCAGGCACACGGGGATTACTTTTTCCCTTAGTAGATTCCCGCCGATCGTGTTTCAAATAGGCGGGTCGGCTACGCGGCTACAGCGGCGTATGCACGTGCAGGGATTGACGTGCGTATGCGTGACGTTTCCGCCGAGGCGGAGGGGCGGACTGCGGAGCGCGGTGCATCACGCGCGGTGGCAGCAGTGATCAGTGCATTCGAATGTGCCGACTCGACACTGCAAGTGGATGCATTTTGTGCCCCACGACGCATGTTTACATTAGAGGTTTCTGGTGAACTACATACCGAAACAGCGTTGCTTAATAACGCAACTTCGGCACGCAGTCCACTTACGATGTTATCCGAAGCCTCTAATTTGCATTGTAATTCGGCTAGGCTCGACTTCAAGGACGTAATGTCCTTCAGCAGCCTAGAAACATCAACGTGATCAAACGTGTCTGGGGGCAGCTTGTGCAACTCCTTCGCCACGAATGTGGGCAAGTCGTCGGCTTCAGGAGTATGATGATATCCTGGAGACTCTTCACGAATAATAAACATTTTAATAAAAATAAAGTAATGATCTTATTCTGCTGGAATTTTGCGATTTGCCATAATATTTTAAATACGAATATAATAGTACAGTGACATTTCAAAATGATATAGAGTAGTGCAACATTTATTTTCGTAGCAAAGTTGCTACGAAAACAAATAAAATTCTCGAAGAAATATTTGTGTCACCTACATTTATTTATCTCGTGAATTTGGGTATAATTTGTGGTTGTCTATGTGTGTCCATGGCACTCGCGATACAGGGTTTCCCTAGTGCAGGGCTAAGAGTGTGTACGTTATTATTATTATTCAAGTCACAGGTGACGAAAACCTTTGCACCGATCATATGCTGGTATCATAGAAAAATCACGTGGCTTGATTATTCTCAAACAGCTTTTGTTTCGAATGCACTATATCGTGTGACCATATTTATAATTCCAGATATTTCTCAAGTGCAGCTGTAAATGCAGTGTCCCCTCTACTGTGGTTTCGCCGCGTAAGTTTCCATGATATGCATTAGCAAATGATATTGATTCGCTGTTGTCATAGCAAAGACTGTCTTGAGTTTTTAAAAGTTTTAAGAATCAGCTTCATGACCAACCGGATTTTGAAGCCACACTCGTCGTTCACCAGAGAAATAACGACGATACCCAAACTATTTAGGTTTGCGGTCTCAAAACCATATCAACGGTCGATGATCCTGAGCATCTGTTTGAAAAGAATCGCTGCCTGTTATAACTCCTTTGATGAATACTTCATTTTTTTCTGTTTAAGTATAACTTCGTTTAAGTAATGTATCTCTTTAAAGAGATTCCCCATTATATTGCGTACTGTGCAGTCTTAACAAAATTTTAAATATGTACAAAAGTTTTATAGACCTGAGTTTTTTTACAAAGATTTGTTTACATTGAGTGTAAACAAATCTTTGGCAGAATTTACAGCGATTTTCGTTTGCATTATTTTTCATATCACTCACATTACGAGTATTTTTTGTGCATACATTGATGGTAGGAATATATAGAAAGATCAGCTGTCACATTTATACAATAATATAACTTATGGTAGGTTCGATTTTTAGATGCTGGGATTCCTGAGTCGTTGTTTCGGTAAAACCAAAAACAAAATCCTATGAAAAATTAAATTAGTTATGTTCTTCAAATAGTTTAAAAGATTTGTACTGCGTATTCGTTCAGACTAATGCTGAACGCTTTGACAATATTTTCTTACCAAGTTTTAATATTACGTCTAACGTTTTCTGGCTGATATGACAGGCTTATTTCCCAGTAATCACAAATGTGTGAGCGTTTAATCTTCATTGCTCATCGCAGTAATTTCACCCACTGCTGAATCGGCAGATAATCCATCACAAGTTATTGCGACTAAAACAAAACATTGCAAAAATAACGCGTCGTTTATCAACACTCATTTTTTTATTTATATTTTTTTACTTATGGAATTGTAACTTCAAATCAAGTGTCGAATCTTCGAATCTCAATTTATTGGTTCATTAAACGTTGTTCAACAACAACAAATTGTATAATTTATTATTAGATACCCGCTATTTATTTATATACAATAGTGCGACTTATATCCATGCTTTACAAAAATGTACGGTTTGAAGCTGGGCTGCCGTAGTAATGATTATTGTCAATGTTTTATCACTAAAATATTGACAATAATCAGTACTACGAATTACTGTGATAATAATAATAATATAATAATAATTGATATTAAATATTAAACTAAATAAATGAATAATCTTAACTTTGAAATGTCTCGGAGTGGTTACGGTTAGGAGAGTTCCGAGTTCCTACATAGTAGGTATTATTATTAACCGACTCCAAAAAAAGGAGGGTGACTCCGGCAGTTGTGAACCGATTTTGATGATTCTTTTTTTTGGAAAGAGGATACCTCAGAAGTGGTCCCATTTATTGGTTATTATATATTGGTTCTGAGGCCAGTTTTTTAGTACTCTGTACTGATTTATTATTATCTATACCTATATATTATTCAGTTCTTAGGTTTACGAGATTGTTACACATAAAAAAATAAAGTATTTTTTTTTCGGATCTTAATAACGTATATTTGTTTTTAAAATAAATCAATGTCACGGCTGACTGAGTTAGTAAAGTCATCAACCATCCATCATCATATCTAATATTAATGCAAACCTCCTTCCTATTTTCCATTAAAGTTACAAAAGTTTTTAGGTATATTAAATACCTAATTTTTAATTTACCGAAGAACATTTTCAATTTACACCACATAATTTTTGCAAATTATTTTGTTTAACTAAACAATATGAATTCTTACTAAATAAAATTTATTTGAAAGGTAATTTTATTTTTATTAATAAGTAAGTAATGCTGCAATCTTATGACTGCCGGGGGTTTTTTATCAAAGAAAATATTGGATCCAATGGCATATGACTTCTCAACTAGTGACTACGGTGCCTGTAAAAGGCCCGAAACGTTGGTTTATTTGAAAAAAAAAAACGCGAGTAGGATCCGAAAATAATAACAATAAGAGAGAAAAACCTAAGGATGCGATAGGAACAACCTGTCCAAGGGTCCCTTGAATCAGTTTTTCGAATCAATTATTAATAAACGGGTAGAAAATAAATAACAAAATCCACGGTTGAATCTTAGCATATTTGATATTAATTTACTAATGTTTGTGCGTTGTGTTTGATATTAACAGATATTTTTGATATTAAGGTCAATGTGGTGACAGTAAATAAAATTTTGTGTTTATAGTTACATGTGTTTTTGTGTAGTTATTTAAGATCGTTTAGCCCTTACATTAGGATGACTTCGAGTCATAAAGAGTTCTCTCACTTTTAA